TAGATGAACAAATGCAGTCTACAATAAGAGAAATGAAGGAAAATGCACAGGGAACCAATAGTGATGGAAAGAAAACTGGGTTTCAAATCAATGGAAGGGACCAGTAGGAAGAAAGGAACAACCAAACAGAAAAGAATGAAGAAACAAGAATTCAAAAAAATGAGGAGAGGCTTATGGACCTCCAGGACATCATTAAACGTTCCAACATCCAAATTATAGGGGTACCAGAAGGAGAAGAGGAAAAACAACAAGTGGAAAAGTTATTTGAACAAATAATAAAGGAGAACTTCCCCAATCTGGCAAGAGAAATAGACTTCTAGGAAGTCCAGGAAGCTCAGAGAGTCACAAAGAGGTTGGACCCAAGGAGGAACACGCCAAGGCATGTCATAATTACATTACCCAACGTAAAAATTGAGAGAATTCTAGAAGCTGCAAGAGATAAGGGGACAGTTACCTACAAAGGAGTTCCCATCAGAATGTCAGCTGATTTCTCAAAAGAGACCTTGAAGGCAAGAAGGGGCTGGAAAGAAGTATTCCAAGTCATGAAAGGCAAGGACCTACATCCAAGATTGCTCTATCCAGCAAAGCTTTCATTTAGAATGGAAGGGCAGATAAAGTGCTTTTCAGATTACGCCAAGTTAAAGGAGTTCATCATCCCCAAGCCCTTATTATATGAAATGTTAAAGGGACTTACCTAAGAAAAAGAAGATAAAAAAATATGAAGAGTAAAAAAAAAAAACATCAAACTCAGTAACAACCATACCTAAAACAGAAGCAAACTAAGCAAACAAATAGAACAGGAACAGAACCACAGAAATGGAAATCACATGGAGGGTTAGCAACAGGGAAGTGGGAGGGGGAGAGAGGGGGAAAGATATAGAGAATAAGTAGCATAGACAATAGGTAGAAAATAAACAGGGGGAGGGCAAGAATAGTATGGGAAATGCAGAAGCTAAAGAACTTATGACACATGGACATGAACTAAAGGGGAAGGAATGTGGGTGGGAGGGGCAGGGCAGGGTGGAGGGAAGTGAAGGGGGAAAATGGGACAACTGTAATAGCATAATCAATAAAATATATTTTTAAAAAAGAAATAACAAATTTTGGTGTCCGTAAATAAAGTTTTATTGAAACACAGCTATGCCCAATTGTTTATATATCATCTTTTGCAGATTTGCAACAGAGTTGAGTGCCTACCAAACACGATATGGCCACAAACCTTAAAGATATACTATCTGGTCTTTTACAGAAAAAGTTTGCTGATCTCTGCTGTAGGTAATTTTTCATTTCTGCTTTACAAAAAGCACTGCATAAACATCCCAGCCTCAGTGGAGTCTTCTGGCTTCCCTGTGTCCTGCCAAGTGGATGGTTTCACTCTGGCCATCTTGGCCTTTTTTTATTGCAGCATGTTGTCCACTCTCAAGGCTTTGCCTTTACGTAAACAGTCCTTCCCTTCCACTTTGCCTGGTTGTCTCCTCTTTAAGTTTTAGCTTCAAATTCTTTGCCTCAGGAAAGCTTTCCCAGACATCCCACTTCCAGCCTATTTCATGCTATCTTCCTTTTGTCTTTCCCTTCACTAAACTTAAGCCTTGTGAAGTCAGGCACTGGGTGTGTTGGAGTACACTATATATTTACTGTTAGAATGAATGCACCCTTATTGCTAAATATCTTAAACATAATTTCACATAGGAGGATACATACTTAAGAGATGGAATATCTGTTGTTGAATTGCTGTCTAAAAAGGTTGTTGCTACCAGCAGTTAAGAGTGCTACCTAACTGGAGTTTTAAACTACTGCCTCTGTTTTTAAAGGACAAAAGTCATAGTAAAACAATTCAGCTTTAGGAATGAGTGTCCGGTAAAAAAAGAAAACTTCAAAATCCACGTTTCACGTGGTGATTACAAATGTTGCTCCTCATTGCATAAAACAGTGATCCCTTAGATGAAGCTACAGATTAATTTATTTAAATCTAAATTTTCTTAATTGTAACAGAGAAAAGCCGCAGAACTTAGCTTAAAAAAAAAAAAAAAAAGGCCCTGGTTGGTGTAGCTCAATGGAGTGAGCGCGGGCTGCGACAAAGTATTACAGGTTCGGTTCCCAGTCAGTGTACATGCCTGGGCTGCAAGTCACAGCACCCCCAGCAATGGCTTGTTGACGTTCCTCTCCTCAAAAGTATAAAAAAAAACCCATAAACACTGATGAAAAACAAAAAACACATACTAATAACACGAAAGTATAGCTTCACGCAAAAACCACATCAGTTTGCTTTTTTTTTTTTTTGTAGTATGTCAAGGGCGCCAGGACCAACGATCACTAGCTGCCCAAGTGCCAAAAAATTATGCTTCCGAAATCTCTTGATGTCGATTCCGCACGTAGAGCAATCAAGCTGCCCTACGTGTGCCACTCACGACAGAAGCCCTTTTTGCTTTACAGGCACTGAGAGCAGGGTGGCAGTGTTGGCGAATACCTATTTTGGTATAAGTGAATTAAAAAATAAAAGTATGCACGTTCCTTTCCCGTGCTCTAGAAATTGAGGAGGAAATTTCCAGTCCTCCTGAGTCAGAGGGAAATCTTTATGGAGAGAGTATGATTTGACTTTTGATTTTTATTTAGAAGCAAAGGCAAAACGCTGAGTTGATATGCAAATAGCGCAGTGCTTGCTGGGAAGGTGCCGGCGAGCTCAGCGGGGTGGGGCAGGAAGGAAAGGTTACCGGAGGGAATCGAGCTCTACACTGCAGTGAGCCGCTCCTGTCGTCCGATGCATAGGAAAACCTGATTCTTAGGGGGTATGGGTGCCTATGTGAGGAGAATTCCCCCAACCCCATTAACATTGAAAATGCACTAACTTGTACCACTTCTTGAAGCTGCCCTGGCACGCGAGCACTGGAGGCAAAGATCATTGTAAGAGCGAGCGAAGCTGCCCAGCCTTCACCGTCACAACTGATTAGCAGTATGCGTGTGTTCATAAGGTGGAATGCTATCCGCAGCACTTTCAAGGATTTAGACACCAAAAAAAAAAACCTGCTAAAAGGTGCTGAATAAGGTACAGTATGATACCATTAACGAAGGAAAAAAGCAATACTGAGCTTGGAATGATGTAGATCTTTATCAACATACAAAAATAACAGTGAAAAAAGTGTTGAATGACATCAGTAACTAATAAAGAGCACACACGTGTGTACCTAAGACCCTGTGTTACACATTTTCTATGGCCCCATATTTGTATGCATTAACTTAAACAAAAAAGCCCTCGCTGTTGTAACTCAGTAGATTGAGAGCTGGCCAATGAACTGAAAGTTCATGGGTGGGGTTCCCCCACCCCCCTCCCACAACAGGAGTCGTGGGATAGGTCCCCAGTTGGGGATGAGTTGAGGCAACCAATCCATGTTTCTCAACTTCTCTCTCTCCCTTCCTTCTCCTCTAAAACCAATAAGCAAGTCCTTGTGTGAAGATTAAACATATGTATATATATAGACTGTTAGGCATTTTACTTTCCTTAATATAATATGTGGAGGTCCCTGACCTCTACAAAGTAGAAGCTGCAAGAGGAGTCATATAAACAGCTTACACTATAATAGGAAGCAGATGTGTAATATAAACTGGTGGAAGCCTAGATATGTGCTCTGTCAACTGTGTCTTTTGGGGACTGCACCAGTCAGTTCCTAAAAACAAATCATTTCACCTCTGCTCCACCCTCCAATGCCTTCCCATTGCACAATAAAGAAAATTCTGTGTCCCCACCGTAGACCACAAGGCCCTGCCTGAGCTAACTCCTGCATGCCTGTCCAACCTCACTGCCTGCCACTCTTCCCATCACCTATGAAGCTCTAGTCAACCTGGCTATCGTGGTCCTTGAATAAGCTGTTTCCTGCCTCAGGGCCCTCCATCACCCAGCTAGCTATATCTAGCTTATTCTGATATTCTTTCCCTTTACACTTTTGTGTACTTGCTAAGTAGTCCGTTTCCCACTTCAGATTGTAAACTCTCTAAGGGAGAATATTGTCTGTCTTATCTACTAATAGATACCCAGCACCCAGCAAAAAGCTTGGTGTACAATGAGCCATCTATTCGTTGAATGAATGTACATTTAAACTGGGTCTTAAGGAGATGGGAGTGCAAAAATTAAAAAATGCTACGCCAGACTATTGGGAGAGTAAAGACAGCAGTGGCAGGGAAGTAAGACTAGGAAGATGGGGTGGAGGGTGGGTGGAGGTGGAAGAGGGTAGAAGGGGATAAATGCTAACGGAACAAAAACAAACAAGACTAGAAAGATGGCTTGGAGCCTAATGGTGAGGGGGCCTCCATTCTGTGAATTTGGATGAATGACAGTACAAGAGTGGATTGGGAATTTGGTGGGATGAGGAAAGATAAGAAGACTGGGAGGGCAGGTTGCTTCCCTAATCCAGGTGAGGCAGCTCTTGATTCCTGCAGGCAGTTACCGTCACTTGCTTTGGACTGTCACAGACCTTTTTACATTTCTTTATGTTTCATCATCTTAGTGTGGGGACCTGGGCTCCAGAAGGGACTTAGACTGGAAGCAGGTCTTGTTTCTAGTTTGTTACCTAGCATCTGGTAAATGCACCAGTTCTAAGTATTTTATGGACGAAATAATGGAAAGAATCAGTGTAACAGCTAGAGGACAGGTTCAAGGTTTGGAGTGAGAATTCTAAGTTCGAGATGAGACTCAGAAGTTATTAGCTAAGACCTTGCTTTATCGCTCACAGGTTTCCTTTAAACCATAAAGTGATTTCCCGGAGGTGAGGAGCTTGACGAAATTCCTGATAGATACTAAGCGCTCAATTACTACTATTATTAATTGCCAATTCACACGCACAACCGGTCTCTCTTGTCCCTAGCTTCTTGTGCTGCCAACTCCACTGTTGGTTCCAAAAGCACGCGTATGGGTGCTGCTGTCCCAGGTGATTATCCTTGTCCTGCTATCACAACAAAGGCACCAGCCAAAAATGGCGACCTCTAACCCATAAGAGGACGTCAATTACCGGTCATGGTGAAGATAGACACGACAGGCGGAGTCGGGAAGAAACAGCTAGGGCAGAATTCGCAAAGCTCGGGTAGAAGGCGCTGAGCCCGCCCATGTTCCCAGTCAACACCAACAGGAAAAAGCTGCACCGGGCGAGCTCGGCAGCAACCCAGGACAGCGACCACGTGTCGGAAGGCAATCTGCGTCTGCGCAACTCAGGCGCGCGCCCGCAGGCCGGAAGAGCCGCGCGTTTCCGGGTTGGAGGCGGAGAGCGGTGCCGGAAGGACTCGGGGAGGGCCGAGCAGTCTGACCGGCTGCCGAGACGATCGCTTCACTGAGGCAGTCTCTGCATATCATGGGGAGATAGACCTGCTGCCTGTGAGTCTTGGGCCCTGGCAGTTGAGGAAAAAGAGCGGGAGGAGGGAGTCAGGACCCAGACCCACAGTGGGTCAGTGTTTGAAGAGGCAGATTGTTGAGACAGGACTGCGAGGAATCAGGCTCTTGGGACCGGACTGAGGGGATCGGGGTTCGGAGAAGACGCGGCTGTGGGGACCCGGGCTCCAGACCGGACTTAGGGAACAGGGACAGATGTGAGTTCTCTGGCACCTGAGAGAAAGCGGGCTGAGAGGGACAGGATTGTGAGGACCCGGGCTCCTAAGAGGAGAGTGGTCGGAACGGAACGGGGCGTGAAGACACCGGCTCCTGAGAGGTAAAAGCGGAGCTGTGAGGACTTGGACTCCTAAGAGGCACAAGTGGGACAGTGAAGACCCGGGCTGCTAAAGATTCAGAAACAGCAGGAAGACTTATATTCTTGAGGGGCAGAAACAGTAAGGGAACTTTTGGGTTTGGGAGGAACAGGAGCGGGCAGTTAAGATGGGCTTCTATGGGGACGAGATCGGGGCTTGGAGACTCCGAAGTACCTGAGGGAACAGGGCTGTGAGGACCCGAACTCCTAAAAGCAAAGAGTTTCAGGGGCCGTGGCTGTGAGATTAGCCTCTAAGGGAAAGAAAGAGAATTCGGAAAACTATGGTGATCCGTGTGCTTTTCCCCCCTCATATTCTCTGAGCCCAGAGTGGTAAAGGATGTATTCAGGAGAAGACTTCGTTCTGCCTCCTTGGCTTTTGGCAGCTTTTCTTGCGTCAGATACTTAATCTAGGAAGGCCACATGCATTATTCTTGCGAAACTGATGTGAAGTTGAAGCAGTTTGAACTCAGTTACGTACTTGACAAGTGCTTTAAATTCCATTCCACTCAACCCTGGCTGAGTACAAATCTCTACATCGCATACAAAAGAATGTCAGAGATGGAACAGCCCGATAGATAATCTTTTTAAATTCCTGTTTTACGTGCAAAGAGGGCTTAGGATCGCAGTGGAGCAATGCTGATTAGATCATGAGTTTGGTGCCGTACCCTGCTGGACACAGCAAATAGAAGATGCTTGGTTAAAAAAAAAAAAATGCTTGGCTAATATCCCTGAAAACATGCTTCTCGAATCTGCTCTAACTTCAAACCTAAGAGGGAATTTTCACAGATTCTACTACTTTATTTTTAGTCTTGCTGTATTCACATTGATACAGTGAATGTCACTACCAGTTAAGAAACCTTTCAATGAAGCCCGTCCCTCCCTCAAAAGATGTCGTAAGCCATTTAAAAGTTGCAGATAAGTACACTGTATCCTGTAGTTTTAGCATAAGCTTTCACTGGACATGGCTGCTTTTAGACCGGGTTGGCAGAGAGACATGGACCAGGCACTTCTCTTCTTCAGTAATATCTTGTCCTGAACCTGCTCAGGCTAACCAGACAACATCATAAGCACTCTCAAGTATTTTTTAATTTTCATTGATTTTATTGGGGTGACATTGGTTGATAAAATACAGTTCTCAGGTGTACACTTCTGTAATACATCATCTTTATATTGTGTGTCCACCACCTGAGTATTAGATCCTTTAATCACCACTTACAGCCCCTCAGATTAGATATTAGTCCCATTGTACAGATAAGGACATTGGTTCAGAGATTACTTTAAGTACCTTGTCTAAAATCACATGGTATTAAGTGGCCCAGCCCAAGTCAAACCCAGTTTTGTATTTGATTAATTTTTTTCTACTTTTCTATGTGGATTCCTCTTCATGTTTGTTTGCCCATCAGCAAAATGGAAGTAGTAGTTTTACACAGCATATCATTGAATGAACTCACTCCTCCTCCTTAAGACTCAATGCCAAGTACTATAACTTACTAGGGTACTTATGTAGTGTGGTATTTGAGGAGAACTAAATTCCTATGTTTTTATTTTTATTACTATTTTTCTTTTTAAATTTCTGTGTTTTTAAAGAAACATGGATATTCAAGATAGAAAAAAAACAGGACCTGAACAGAACTTTTTAGGAGGCCAAGAAAGGCCAGTTTGACACAAGGGCTTAAATTAGATTTTTACAAGTGTAACATAACTAGATGATTGAGGAAATTGGCGTAACTTAGTTGAAACTGTTTTTTCCCAATGAGTTAGCCTATGCTATTTGCAGGTGCCTATACTGTATACAAGTGATCAAAACTTACACCAAATTAGGAGATTAATAAGTATGTCCATGCCACCATTTCAGAGTACTTAATGGTTCAATGATAATTTATTACTGGATTAATAGCCTCACCTTCATCTACAGAATGTACTTATTTCACTCCTTGGTGGCTCTAACATTGATTGAATCATTATAATAGGATTTCGAAGTACCTGATCAGAAAATCATTGTGTTAGAGTAGAAATGAACATGGAACATTCTACTTTTGACCCGAGGTCTTTGGGGAAAGCTCCAAAATACTATGGAGGCAGCATGTCAGCAGTGCTTATAGTCTGCAATGTGAAACTGGTGTGTTAGAGACAGGAGACAAACTTTGAACTCTGTACATATGAATTTAAAATCTTACCCTAATTATTAGAGCTGGAAGGGACTTTAGAATTTGCCTGGTCCTGCTATGGAAACACTGGTCACAGGGAGCTCACTTAACTCAGTGGCAGAAGTAGGATGGTACCCAACCCTCCTGAGTTGGGTCTTCTCCAGTCTCCTGCTGACCTTTTGCCATTAATGTTTTATTTCAATCCATTCTTTTTTTCTAATGTCTACAGTCATGAGAATGGTTATAGGACACAACCGACACATATCAGAATGGGTGAAACCTTTTAGTTTTAAAACACTTAAGTTTATAACTAACATTTAGAAGAGGAGAGCATATATATTAGCGAACATTGAAAACATGTTCTCCTTTGTGCTTACTGTGTACCACTCACTCTTTAAGTGCTTTAGATACATAAATTTTGTGAATTGCCACAACAGTCCCATGAGATATACTTTATGATTAACTCCATTTTATGGATGAGGAAATTGAGGCATAAAGAGATTAGGCAACTTGCTCAAGGACATAAGTTAATAAATAGGTGGCAGAATTGGTACTTGAACCCAGATACTGTCACCAGAGTCCATGCTCTTGGCCACTGTATTGTACTGCCATTGTATTAAGTCAAAACCACTTAAATACGCTCCAACTAGTTAAAAAACGAGTGGAGAAAACTAATATTTCTCTTGCTTTCAAGTCTCACACACTGCAATTAATTGATTCTTTTTGGTTCATTTAGGCCGGGAAGTGAAGCCAGCGAGGAGATAAACAATCAGATAGAAAACCCAGCCATCAAGTCAAATCATGTACCACAGTGGCCTTTATGCCATCAGGCTGGTAGTCCCCTTGTCTCCGAATTTTGTGTAGATGATAAGTTCCTAAATGTTTCAAAGATAAAAAGGTGTTAAAGATAATCTGATCTTCTAGTCTCTTATTTTCTTCATTAAAAAAAAAATCTGTTAATGGAACAGATGCCCAGAGAAGGCCAGGTCTTGTAACTACTGCAAGGTCTCCACTGATTTCTTACCTTCTGAAAAATCAGATCCTTTTAATACAATAATAGTGTTGCAACTGGATTTATGTTTGAGGAACAAAGTTGCTAAAAGCAAAAGCAGGGCTTGTCATCCTCAGCCTTTCAACCACAGTTTGAATGTGATAGGCTGTGGGGAGGGAGAATATACTTGGCTATTTAATTGAACTTGCAGCCGTACAATATTGATTACTGGGGCATGGACTTTCTGGACTTTGGGAATCTCATCATGGCACATGATTTCCATGTAGTAGGTGCTAGTCAGGATTTACTATTATAATTGTCCTCTCAAACTGTCCCATAGTTAATGCCTCTGTTTTTTATATAGCAGTACATCTCTATCTTTTGGCATTTTAAGGATGCGAGAGTTAGAAATTTGAGTAGCCCAGATGCAATCATTCTAAGTGACATAATGGAATTCAGGTTATTTACAGTCACTTCATTCCACTGTGCTTGGTCAGCCTCATCCACAATAGGGCTTGATGAAAGTTGTCAGTAAACAGGTCATTTGAATGGAAAGTCATTAACCATTCTGATCAAGCTGTGATATTTTTATTTTTACATTTTCACATAATAAAATTCTCCTTTTGTGGGGTATGGATCCATGAGTTGTAACAAGTGCATACAAGGGGGGACCCAAAAAAACCCAGAATTATCTCCTGGAGGGTGGGCCCCTTGTAACACAGGGTTCCCCTGCTAGGTGAGTGTTCTAGGAAACCATCTGTATCTGTACCAGCTGGTGGTGTTGTGAGAGGTTGCATTTGGTTTCAGTGATTTTTTTTTTGAAGATTCAATGTGGTTAACCATTTCATGATGGGTGATTTACGACTGTACATGCCCACGCAGCACTGAGTGATTAGCAGTTTTTGACCAAAAATGGCATGACCCCTATGCCCCAACCACTCTGTTCCCCCTAGCTCATGCTGAGCAACTTTTTTTTTTTTGTTTCCCTGGGTGAAAAAAGTCCTCAAATGGAAATGTTTTGCTGATGTGGAAGAGATGAGACAAAAAACAACAGAAACCCTGAAAGGCATCAAAATCAACAAGTTCAAAAACTGTCTTAAGCAGTGAAAAAACCTCAATAGGTATATTGAATATGTTGAAGGTGACTGAAGTTGAAACATGTTAGAATAAATACACAATTTTTTATAAATAAATTCCAGGGTTTTTTGGGTCCCCCCTCATACTGTGATGTAAGCACCGTAACACTCAGGTTACCTAACAGTTCCACCACTCCCAAAGTCTCCCTCA